AAAAAAAGGGGGGCCTGGCACAGTGGCTCACGCCTGTAATCATACCACTTTGGGAGGCTGAGGTGGGCGGATCATGAGGTCAGGAGATCGAGACCATCCTGGCCAACATGGAGAAACCCCGTCTCTACTAAAAATACAACAAAATTAGCTGGGCGTGGTGGCACATGCCTGTAGTCCCAGCTACTCAGGAGGCTGAGGTAGGAGAATTGCTTGAACCTAGGAGGCAGAGATTGCAGTGAGCCGAGATCGTGCTACTGCACTACAGCCTGGGCAACAGTTTGAGACTCCATCTCAAATAAAAAGAGAGAAAAGAAATTGCCAGACTGTCTTCCAAAGTGGCTGTACCTTCTTTCATTCCCACTAACAATAAGTGAGAGTTTCTACCTCTTGGCATCCTCACCAGCACTTGGTGTCAATATTTTGGATTTTTGCCATTCTAGTAGATACGTATTGGTGTCTTGTTACAATTTTTAGTTCTCTAATGACATACAATGTTGAACTTTTTTTTTTTTCATATTCTCATTTACTACCCATCTTCTTCGGTGGGATTCCAAATATTTTGTTTTCTTATTGTTGAGTTTATGAGCTATTTGTGTATTGTGGATACAGTTCCTCAATCAAATATATTTTGGAAATGTTTTCCTCCAGTCTGTGTCTTGTCTTTTCATTCCTTTAACAGAGTTTTCTGCAAAACAGATTTAAATTTTTTTGAATGAGGTAAAATTTATATAACAACTTTTTAAGTGAACAATTGAGCAGCATTTAGCATATTCACAGTGTTGTTCAACTACCAGCTTTATGTAGTTCCAAAACATTTTTATTACCCTAAAAGGAAACCCTGTACCCATTAAGAGGTTACTCCTCCTCCCCCACTAGTCTGCTTTCTGTCTTCTGTTTCTGTATTCTGGGCATTTACTATAAATGGAATCATACAATATGTGTAATGTTTTATGTCTGGTTTCTTTCACTTAGCACAGTGTTTTGGAGGTTCATCCACATTGTAGGATATATCAGTACTTCATTCCCTTGTATAAATAATATTCCATTGTGTATGTATATTACAGGTATGTACAATTTATTCATCCATTCATAAACATGACGGTTGTTTTCACCTTTTGGTGAAAATAGCACTGCTATGAACATGTGTACATGTATTCTTTTGAATACCTGCTTTCCAATGATGTCCCACTCATCCATTTTTTCTTTTATGGATCATGGATGTAGGTGACCCAAGGTCGTCTAGATTTTCTCCTATGTTATCTTCTAGATATTTTACAGAAGTTTTGTGTTTTACATTTAAATCTGTGATCCATCTTGAATTAAGTTTTGTGACAGGTATAAGATCTTATTTTTGCATATGGATGTCTAACACTGGTGAAAATATTATACTTTCTCCAATGAATTGCTTTTGATCCTTTATCAAAGATCAGTTGAATATATTAGTGTCTGCATGGTGTTTTAGTTCAGGCAGCTATAACAAGTTACCATACAGTGTGTGACTTAAACCACAGACATTTATTCCTCATAGTTCTAGAGGCTGGAAGGTCCAAGGTTAAGATATCAGCAGATCTGGTGTCTGGTAAGAGCCTACTTCCTGGTTTGCAGATGGCTGTTTTCTTGTGGTGTCCTAACATGGTGGAGAGAAGAGAGAGAAAGCAAGCCCTCTCATGTCTTTTTATAAGGGCACTAATCTCATTTGTGAAGGCTCCACCCTTAGGAACTAATTGCCTCCCAAAGGCCCCACCTTCTAAATACCTCATGGGGTTAGGATTTCAACATATAAATTTTGAGGGACACAAACATTCAGTGCATAATATGTGGTACATCTCTGTATATCCTCTTTTAACCTATCTGTGACTTTATATTCAAGTAGGTTTTTTGTAGACAACATATAGTTGGGTTTTTTTAAATCCACTCTAACAGTCACTATATTTTTATTGGTTTATTTAGATCATATTGAAAGCAATTATTGATATAGTTGGATTAATATCTGTTTGCAGATATTAATATCTGCAAATTAATATAACAAATTAATATTTGTTATATCTGTTCTTTATTTTCCTATTTTTTTCTTTTTCTGGTTTTGAGCATTTTAAATATTATCCTATCTTCTCTTCTTAGCATATCAATTATACTTCATTTTTAAGTATAATTCTTAGTTACTGCTTGAGAGTTTGCCTTACACATTTACTAATCTAAGTTAACTTTCAAATAATACTATATTGTTTCATTGGTAATTCAGGTACCTTATGACAGAGTATTCAGGGAGGATCATGTAAGCCCACGAGGTTGAGGCAACAGTGAATCCTGATCTTTCCACTGCACTCCAGCCTGGGTGGGAGAGCCAGACTCTGTCTCAAAAAAAAAAAAAAAAAAAGATTTTGCTTGTCAGTTCCTACAGAAATGTCTGCTGAGATTTTAATTGGGTTTGTGTTGAATCTATATATCAGTTTGGGGAGATGTGACATCTTAACAATATTTAGTTTTCTGACCTATGAACAAGGTATATTTGGCAAATTGCTTAGGTCTTTTTCAGTATCTCTCTGCAATATTTTGTAGTTTTCAACTGTATAGGTCTTTCATATCCTTTGTCACATTTATCCCCAAGAATTTTATATTTTTGATGCTATTGAAATAACATGTTTTAAGTTTCGAATTCCAATTGTTTATTATTAGTATATAGAAATAAAATAGATTCTTATATATTGGTCTTGTATCCTGCAACTTTGCTAAACTCGTCCATTAGTTTAAGTAGTTCTTTTGTAAACATCATTGGCTTTTCTACATGGATGATCATCTTGTCTACAAATAAAAATGTTAGTTTTTCCTTTCTAATCTGAAATCCCTTTTCTTTCTTTTCTTTCTTTCTTTCTTTTTTTTTTTTT